ACACTGTGGGGACTTTGATGCTTTTGTACTGCTATATTTAGTCTGCAGAGACATTTTTTTTGGTTTTTTCGAGACAGGGTTTCTCTGTGGCTTTGGAGGCTGTCCTGGAACTCCCTTGGTAGTCTAGGCTGGTCTCGAACTTACAGAGATCCGCATGCCTCTGTAGTCTGCAGAGAAATTAACAATCAATTATTTTAAAACATTTATTTTCATTTTTACTTATCTATGTATGTGTATGCTCACATATGTAAGGTGCCTACAAGGTGAGATTAGGGGATTGGATCCTCTTGAGTTGGAGTTATGGGTGTTTATGAGGCACTTAACATAGGCACTGGGAACTGAACTCCAGTCCTCTGAAAAAGCAGTAAGCGCTCTTAACTGCTGAGCCACTTCTCTAGGCCCTGGCAATCAATTAAGACTTTGTGTGATTTTTTTCTCAGAAATTCATAAAAATTGGAATGTTTTCTACTCTTCATCTTGCTTTGGGGAACTAGATTCTAAAGAAATGTTGTATTTAGCAACTCTACAAAAATAATAATAAGATGAATTTTTTAAGTCACAGTATTTCAGAAGTGTCTCAGAAAGCAGTCTAGGGAAAAGGTGTATCCCTGAAAACTGAGCTGAGGGACTCTCAAATTTCCAAACTCAGCTGAATTGTCCTAAACATTTCAAGCTGAAAAATAGGAGTGTGAGTATGGAAAAGAGCCTTTCTTAGGAGATCTATTTATTTATTCATTGGCAGTATTGCTTCTGTCAAGGCTAAAATCCAGGAAGAAAAATCCTCCAATCATCTGAAGACTTGGGTGCTCATAAAACAATCAATATCAGTTTGATTCTCCAAGCAGTAAAAATTGGACTTATGTAATACTGTAAGTTGCAAATGATTTGAGGTCAGCATCAGGCAGCATAGGGTCATGAAAATATTCAAAATAATAGCAAGGAAGTTTTGAAAAATTTGAAGAGCATTAAGGACAGGGCAGGCAGTCTGCTGCTCAAGATGCTGACAATTCATCTATAGAGTTCAGTTCAGGCCATTTCTGCTAGCCTACGCGCTCAAAAGGCAACAAGCAAGATGGGCAGAGTCAATTCGCAACCTCTTTCTTTCTTTCTTTCTTCCTTCCTTCCTTCCTTCCTTCCTTTCTTTCTTTCTTTCTTCCTTCCTTCCTTCCTTTCTTCCTTCCTTCCTTTCTTTCTTTCTTTCTTCCTTCCTTTCTTTCTTTCTTTCTTTCTCTCTCTCTTTCTTTTTTTCCTTCCTTCCATCCATCCATCCTTCCTTCCTTCCTTACATTCATTCTTTTTCTTTTACTTTTTTTCCTTGGAGACATGGTTTCTCTGTAACAGCTCTGGCTATTCTGAAACTCACTTTGTAGACCAGCCTGGCCTTGAACTCACAGAGATCCACCTGTCTCTGCCTCCCGAGTGCTGGGATTACAGACATGTGCCACCACTGCCTAGCTTGCAGCATGTTTCTTTAAAACAAAACAAAACACTCCAAATCTTTGTTATCTAAGTTAGTACTATCAAGAAGAAGGGACTAGAGAAAGCAAATAAGATTATGTTCAATTCTATCAAGCCATATTTTCATGCCACTTCAAGATGTTTTGGTTGTGAGTCTCACCTTTTACAAGGCTGAGACACCCATCTTTCCAGTCCTTTTCATACCGTTTCTTACTCAGACACTGTCAATTCCATTTAAAAGTATTTCTCTCTCTTTTTTTAAACAACCAACAATTGGATGATGTTTGGATGTGAGGAGTAAAGTACAGATGACAGTGATTTACAGTGTATTATTGGACATCTATCCTAAATAGGAACGATGATCTTTATATGCAAAGATTTCCATTGAATCATTATGCTTGTTCCCAAGGTCACACCTTGTTTCCTGCGTGTTCTCCTCGGGCACTTAAAACTCCAAAGAACACTGGTTTTACGCTGTGATCTATGCTGTAGCCTTCAGCCATATGCATTGTCCTTGTCTCAATGTTTCCCGTATTTCTTCTAAGTCTTCAAACCCTGGCAATTCTCATCTCTGTAAGACCAGCCCCCTTTGTTGTCCGAAGGTTCTGCACTGATTGCTGATCTCCACTCTGGCCAATCTGTGATTTTGCACTAACTTCCTCATTTTCAGCTTGCATCTTTGTCTTCTAAGGATGAAATCTGTCACCTTTCTCTTTGTCCAGGTAACTAGCTGTGGCTTAGTGTCCAGGGCACCCTTACCTCCTTACATCACCATCTATCTTTGTCATATTTTTTTATATGTGTGGGTGGAGCTGTATAGTGTTCTACCTGTAAGCAAGAGTCCCTCCCCCCACTGAAGTCTCATATGTGATACAAGCAAGCAAGCCTTCTTTGAGTTCACACAAGCTGTCCTTTGTATGTTTCATAGAAATACTGCTGGTATTTGAATATCCTCTAAAAGTCATACTGAAATTCAATTTCCATTCTTACAGTATTAAGGGAAACTGTATTGCTGTCAAAAAGGATTAGTTTAGCCCATTTGCCCTGACTCATCCAAAGTGCTCTTGTCAGATGCTGGGACCAAGCTCCTGAACTTCTCAGTCTTCAGAAACTGTAATGCTTATAAATGACCCAGCCTGTGGTATTCTGTGGTGGCAGCAGCACAAAATATACCTACATAAATAGCTTATGCCTATTTCCTCATTAATATACTTTTTTCTTCTGCCTTGTTTTTCTTTTGTCCCTAATAATAAACTACAGAAATTAATCCCCTGTTGGCATCCTTTTTCTTTATTCTTTAAACTCTTGAAAATAGTTTTCCTCTTAAGCACCTTTTAGATTCTCTCCTACTTTCTACTTATCTCTCTCATAGTGGTTTATTTGGTTCCATACTCTTTTTTTTTTTTAATTTGGATGCTGACATCCTAAGAAGGCCCGAAGTTCCTTCCCTCATAATTTTGTACTGTACCCAATAGTATGCCTTCAAATTTTCAAACTCTGTGCTTTCTATTTTGTAGTTCTATAGCTTAAGCCTTGACTTTTCCCCTATGTCAAGCATCCTATTACTTGTATCATTTACAGTTGGAGCTTGCTAGTCAGTCTCTCCAGCACTCCCAGATAAAATTTATTGAGTTCTCCCTCCAACAACATCTACAGCTGTCTTACTTCTTTAAAAAATATTTTGTTATTTTATGTATATAAATGTTTGCCTATATATGTATGTGTACCACATTTGCGTCTGGTGCCTGCAGAGGGAAGAAGAAGGCATTGTATGCCTCCTGGGATTAGAGTTGCAGACAGTTATGAACCACTGTGTGTTTGCTGGAAACTGAACTCAGGTACTCTTAACTACTGAGCCTCTCTCCAGCCCACGAAACTGTATTATTTCTGATATTGGTTCTCACACCATTCACCTAGCATTCTGAGTGTTCATTTGTGTATTCAGCAATATTCATTGTGAACTTAATACGTGTTCCTTGACAGTTCTAGTTCCTAGGAGCAACAGACTTTAAAAAAAATCAATGGGGTTCTTGCCTTTGTGGAGTGTGTAGAGACACACAATGAAAACAACCCTGTAGGATAAATTTTGGTAGAGAAAAGTTGTGTAAAGAAAGTTAGGTAATGCTTGGTGTAGTGGTACATGCCTTTAAAATCATGGGCACTGGGCAACAGAGGCAGGTGGATCTCTGTGAGCTTCATATAAGCCTGGCCTACACAGCAAGTTGCAGGCCAGCCAGGGCTTCATAGTGAAAACCTGTTTCAAAAGTAACTAAATGAATGACTAAACAAACAAATAAATGAAAGGTGAGTGAAACTGCTGTTGTGAAGAGTGGAGCTGAGTGCAGGACACTCACATTAGGAAGGATGGTCCAGGAGGCCACTCTGAAGAAGAGACATGTCAGCTGAGTCTAAACACAGAAGTGCCAACCACGCAAACAGCGAGGAAGGGTTTCCTGAACAAAGGCATTAGGGAGTGCAAGGCTCTCACAGAGTGCTTACCTCTTTGCCTCCATTACTCCAGCTTCACCCTAACTTCAGAAGCCTGTCCATTCCCGCCTGCTCATGCACAGCGGCCTTAGGATTTTTCCCTCTAGGATGCATTTCCTCCAGGGATAAGTCCTTACAAACTCTGTCTTCCCATATAGTCTATGATCCAGTGCAGCTCAACTACTACTACAGAACTTCTTTCTGAATGTGAGACTCTGCACCACATCTTAGAGCCCCCAGTGTCCACAGGACCCACAAACTTGGAAGCTAATACTCAAAGTTCTTCATGATATGACCTTAAAATACCTTTTAACTCTTCCCTGCATTTGGTGGGCAAAAGCTACTGAAATGATTTCAAAGTACACCCTTAAACACTTCTGTCTCTAAGGAGGCCCTTAGTCTTCACTTGTTTGGAGTACTTGTCATCTCCTTACCCACAGCATGGGCCAGTCATACCCCTGCAAGCTGTACTTCACTCCATCTTTTCCTTTAAGGCCCTTTAGAATTCTCTGTTGCTACTTCCAAACAACTTTATCCCTATTGCCATTCGTCACATCTGTTCAGGAATGAGGCTATGTGTCCATCCATCTCCCTCTCTCCACCCAGGACTCTGTTGCAGTAACCATGTGTTCTTTATCCCCATGTGAGCAGAGTGCCTCACACGCAGCTGACACTAAGTATTTGCTGGACAGATGAAGGCATTCAGCAAACCTGAATCCGATTAGCTAATATTTATTTCATGATACTCCAAGTGTTTTACTTTTTATCATCCCTCTGCCTCATTTCTCTGTCTGCCTCTCTCTGTCTGTGAAAAGACAGAGCAGGGGGACAAGGCACTTTGTTTTGGAACCATCTAGTTAGTTTTAATCTGGTTAAACGACTAAAAGTTTATATTGAGGAACATGAGAAACGATTGGGTAATCATTATACCATGCAGCAAATAACTGTTTGTGAACTACTAATTGATTGGCTTTCCACTCAGGATCCAGAAAACTTCTTAATATATCCCAGGGCCTAAATATTACATTCTCACGACCAAAGACGCTCACACTTACCACATTACTGCATGTTCTATACCGAATATTTCTTCCTTCACAGCTCCTAGGTCACAAAAAGAAAAAAAATATTAATGTTTATTATACCTAGGAAAAGCTCAAAATTTGGACCAATTTCCTCTTACAATTTATTTTTAGTACTAATACTAAGCTTTTTCTTCTAATAGATTCTCTAAGTTAATACCATTAAACAAAGAATTGGACAGATCTGAACAAACTTGGATGTATACTTTGATTTCTCTACATAAGTTGAAATTAAGCATTTATTTTCCTTTAAATTTTTAAGAACTGAAGAAGATACAGTCAGTATTTAGCATGGATAAGAGAAAAAGGATCCACAGGCTCCCTCCTTAGAGGAAAAGGGATTAGCATCTGAGGACTGTTGAGGTAGGGAGATGTGGTTTTCTTCATGGGTGTTGCCTATAATAGATTATTCGTGCTCCAGTATATGGTTTTATGCTCATGCACACACAGGCAACAAATGGGCAGCACTAAATTCAGTGGGTTGTAAAAATGGGGGGGTGCATTAAGTTGAGAGGAAGACGTGGAGACAGGTGATTGGGAATAGCTGGAGGTGGGAAGTGATGGTATACATAATAAATATAAATTGTATGCATGCATAAAGGTCTCAAGGAATAAATGAAATATTATGTTTAAATAATTCATCACTATCTCTTCATTAATTTCCTTACAAGGCAGAGGAGATCACATCACTTACACAATTTTATAATGTTTTGTTCCTCCACTTAAAGATTGCTTTAACGAAATTAAAAACATTCATTCATTGTATGGGCGTGTGCGTGTGCGTGTGCGTGTGTGTGTGTGTGTGTGTGTGTGTGTGTGTGTGGTGTGCCATAGTGTGCATATGAAGATCAGAAGACAATTTGCAGGAGTCAGTTCTCTCTTTTCACCTTATGGGATCTAGGGATCAAACACAGGTTGTCAGGTTTGTTGGCAAACACTTTACCCTTCTAATTGTCTATCTGGACCTCCACTTAAAATTTCTTTGAAGATTTCCCCACATGCTATTGAAATACTTTAAAGAAACTGTGTTGACAGCTATATACTATTTCAAGAAATGATACAATTTGTAAAACCACATCAATTCCTTGTAATTTAAGTAATTTCATAGGATTCCATAAAAGAGAGTACAATAAACCATCCCCATGAACATTTTTAATACAAGTTTCTGACCATGTCTTTATAACAGATAAATTTCTAGAAGCAGAATTACTGAACTAAAGGGAATCAACTTTGGTGAGGCGCTTAAAAATTATTGCCAAATTGCATTCCACAAAGGGTGTGCTATTACATATTCCTACCAGCACTGCATGGGAGTTTCCATTTTACTAAATTCTCATGAACAAAATTAATTGGTTTCTTGCTAAAACATTCAGTGATGACAATTCGTGAGCAACAGTGCTCTGCTCTTCTCAAGTAAGCCCACACTTTTCAGAGAGCAAGAAAAATTATATTATGAAATTTCAGAGAATTGTGGAAGTAGCTAACAGGTATGGAGTTCGAGATAAAAATTTAAGTTACATGCTTATTAGATCTTCTAAATTTGCTGAGCGATAGATTTGATCTTATCAAATGTGATAAGATCATTGAATTCATCTTATAGATGAGGTGACGCTTAAAGAGGATTCTCAAAGCCCCACAGGCGCTAAATGGTGGAGTGATCCTGAAACAGGGCCACTTAGCTTCAGGACTTAACATTTATAGTCACACCTTGCTAACGTGCCCACTTCAGCAACATTTTGAAGCTACCGTTACAGTCTGGGAATGAAGTGACTTTGCAAAATGCAAAGTAATGAATATGACTTGGCCATATAATTAAGCATAAAAATGGTGATTGTGTTAGGTCTTAAAAATGTCAGCAAAAACAAAATTGAATCTGGAAACACAATTATACATGGGCTGTTTTACCATAAAAAATTTGACTTCAACTAAATTAACTGCTTTAATATACAATAAAATTAGAATTGGCAAAGGAAGGCATCTGGATTGTAGAAAAAGGGAGAATCAACGGAGATGCATGGGGACAATGAGACCAGCAACGCTCTAGAGCCAATGAACTTGAAGTTGGTTATTGGCCAGGATGATTGATGTATTGCCTCGATGGATGGTAACACTGAACGTTCAGCTCATATGAGGAGCATCCCTCATCTGATGCCATGCTGGCCAAGATGCTTTCCAAGAACGACCTAACTAATGACTGTGAGAGGAAGAGTGCTGGCTATGTTGGCATGAGTATGCTGACCCATGTTTAGATAGGCAAGGGGGACCACAGTGGACATTAAACAGAAAAGGTATGATAACTCTATACTACAAAAACTGAACTTTCCTTAAAAAGCTGAACTCTGTGTAATCTTTGAGGTAATAATGTTGCTTTCCATATGTTCACTTTCAAGTCTTAAACGTCTGTCTATGAAAATAATAGCAGAAACACTTTCCAAGTAGGAATTTGAAGACCAGAATCTTGGATGTTCTTTTATTAGTCAGCCCCTGTAGCTTTTTTTTTCCTCTTTGGGGACCCACCACCCAGTTCCCAAATATATACAGGGAGACTTATGAATGCCAGTGCTTAGCTTGGCTTGTTTCTAGCCAGCCTTTTCAAACTCAAATTAGTCCATTTCTCTTTAACTACACTTTGCCTCTGGGTTTTTATTCTGTATATCTTCCTCTCCTTCTTACTCTGTGGTTGACTATGTAGATGTGTAGCTGGCCCCTGGCATCCTTCTTTCCTCCCTTTCTTGCTCCTCACTCACTCCCATTTTTATCCTGAATTCCTCTTCCTATTTATTCTCTCTGCCTGGCAGACCTTCCCACCTATTTCTTTCTCCTCCCTAGCTATTGGCCATTCAGTTATTTATTAGAGCAATTGGTATTTTAGGTAGGCAAATAACTCAGTTTTTACAGAGTTAAGCAAATGTAACATAAAAGAATGCATCACATCTTTGTATCATTAAACAAATACTCCACAGCATAAAAGATTGTAGCACATCTTAAACCAATATTCTGCAACAAGCCCCTTTCCCTGATCTTAGCATCTTAGTTTGGTCTCCCATCAAATGGCTTTGTTCAAAGGTAGGGCTATTACTGTGCATCACCACAGAACAAGGCAAAGAGAGTAACTTGAATACATCTGCTTCGATAATTTAAATTAGCTTTCTTCCAGAGATTTTAAACTATAACTATACATGCAGATTTTATCAGAATAATCCTTGGATATAGGAGAGATATCATACAGTATAAAAGATTTGCCGAAATACATTTGATTGATACAAAGTAAAAACAAAAAGAGAGGAAAGTTTTTAACTATCTTTCAAAGACTATCCTTTGAATCATAAATAACTTATGTTCCTACAAACCTTTTTTCCATATTGTATTATGATTTAGTTGATTGTCCATTCAACTTGACAGAAATATGGTATTTAAGTGACGGTTCAAGTATGGCAAGTATGTTGTTTACTACTACTACTACTGTTAGAGATCAAACTTAGGATCGATCTTGTGCATGCTAGGCAAGTGTTCTACTGAGCATATCACCATCCTTCACAAGGTACTCACTATTGAAAGACAGCGTCAAATTGTGGATGATAAATTATACTAGAAACACTCTGGCCTGTGTTTGCATTTTAACTTTTCAACAACTGCAAAGTTTTGTTATTCTCATTTAACAAATAAGGGAACCAAGGCTGAGAGTGTTGAGCAGGCCTAAAGTTACACACACAGAGAGAAGAGACCCAGATATTTGAAACTGGACTTGACTAATTACAAAGCAAAACACAAGAAAAGGAGAAAGATGTGAGTAAGATGTACAAGACACTAACACTATATATGACTCTGGGAAGCTAGAAAGGGAGTTGGCCTGAGGGTTAGCATCATCTTATTGACACCATATCAATTTATCAGCTGCTTCTCAATTCTGGTAAGTCTACTTCCCATAATGCAAACCTAAACACAGGTGCACGTGCATGCATGAGGACATGTGCGTGCGTACACGCACGCACACACACACACACACACACACACACACACACACACACACACACACTGGAACACCAAAAGAAACATATTCATCAATAACATGCACTGTGGGAGACTTCAGTGCAGTGATACCCATTTTTAAAAATCAAATTTATTATATTGAAATATACATTTTTTCCTAAGTATCAAAGTAACTCTTTCACCACAAGACTTAATTACTATCAAGTATGAATTCTTTCATCCTACGCATTTGTCTAGACACAAAGTCTCACCCTAGAATTAAGTCATCCTTTCTTCCTTATTTCCTTCCTTTCTACTTTCCTCCTTCCCTTTCCAAACCAAAACACTTAAGAGGACTATACTAGGGAAGTACTAGACCAGGTGAACTTAGACACTTTCTCAAGTACTAAATACAAACAAATACAAATGCTGGAATATATCACAATGCCAAAGTGAACAACCAGAAAGCCCCATAACTCTTTATTTCAGCACCTAACTCTTAGTCAGCCACTTTACTCAAACTCAAGCTCTTCCCTCAGAGAACAGAAAACATCCAATCACAATCTATTCCTTTCTATTTGATACAGGGTTTTTCTCTGTAGCTTTGTAGACCAGACTGGTCTCAAACTCACAGAGATCCGCCTGCCTCTGACTCCCTAGTGCTGGGATTAAAGGCATGCACCACTACTGCCTGGCTTTCCAGTCTACTCTTTATGAATTATCAGTCTCTGATCTTACCACACAGGATAGAAAGATGAGTGTAATGCCAGGTCATGTATGCCCATGGAGTGACAATCTCAGCATCTAACTTTTCCCTTAAACTCTGTTTCATATTTGCATTTAAGAGAGCCATCCCTTCAAACTCTATCATTTACTCCATACGTAAAAGAGTTAATAGTTATCTCTAATACAGATTCTGAAACAAAAGGCAAACTGAATCTTGTTTATAGTAAAACACATATGGGGAGGGTTTGTTCCAACAAGGATCAATTAAGTACTGTCTCTTCAAAAATACCTTCACACATCAATGCTTACATTGTATCTATGGTATAT